ACACCAGCAAGACCTGAAAAGCACAATGCAGATAAAGCAGAAGAGACAGACCTTAAAAATTATTTTATGAAGATGATAGAAACCCTCAAAGAGGAAATGAGAAAATACCTTAAAGAAATAGAAGAAAAAAGGAACCAAAAAAATCAAGAAATAAATCTTTTAAAGAATCTGAAAAGAGCCAAGAAAAAACAAACAAAGGAAACAACTCAAGCAGTTCAAGGCTTGAAAGGTGAAATAGAAACAATAAAGAAAGCAGAATGAGAGAATGCTGGAAATAGATAAGCTGGGTAAATGATCAGGAACTACAGAGGTAAGTATAATCAATAGAATACAAGAGGTGGTAGAGATAATCTCAGGTGTTGAAGACTCATTAAAGGATATGCAGTCATTGACCAAGGAAAATCTCAAGTCCAACAAATCCCTAACACAAAATATCAAGGAAATATAGGACATTGTGAAGAAACCAAACCTAAGAATAATAGGTATAGAAGAAGGTAAAGAAATACAGCTCAAAGGTACAGGAAACGTATTCAACAAAATCATAGAAGAAATTTTCCCCAACCTAGAGAAGGATATGTCTATGAAAGTACAAAAAGCTTACAGAACATCAAATAGACTGGACCACAAAAAGAAATCCCATCACCACATAATAAAACACCAAACTTATGGAATAAAGAGAAAATGTTAAGAACAGCTAAATAAAAAGGCCAAGTAACATATAAAGGCAGACCTGTCCGAATTACACCCTACTTCTCAATGGAAACTGAAAGCCAGAAGCCTACACAGATGTCCTACATATGCTAAGGGAACAGAGATGCCAGTGTAGACTGCTGTACCCAGCAAAGCTTTCAATTACTATAGATGGAGAAAACAAGATATTCCATGACAAATCCAGATTTAAACAATACATATCCACAAATTCAGCCCTACAGAAAGTACTAGAAGGAAAACTATAACCCAACAAAGATTACTACAATAACAAAAATATAAGCAATAGGTAATCCCACTTTACCAAACACCAAAAGATACACACACAATAACACCACAACCAATAAATCCAAAACAAACAAGAATAATCAATGGTCATTATTATCCCTCAATGTCAATGGTCTCAACTTGCCTATAAAAAGACACAGGCTAACAATGGATACCAAGACAGAATCTATCCTTTTTCTGCATACAAGAAACACATCTCAATGTCAAAGACAGACGTTACCTGAGAGTAAAGGGTTGGGAAAAGATTTTCCAATTAAAAGGACACAAGGAACAAGATGGGGTAGCAATTATAATATCTAACAAATTATATTTCAAATTAAAATCAAAAGAGATGGAAGAAAGGCATTTCATATTTATCATAGGAAAAGTCCACACAGATTAAGTCTCAATTGTGAACATCTATTCCCCAAATGCGAAGGTACCCATGTTCGTAAAAGAAACATTACTAAAACTCAAATCACACATAAAAACTCACAAGTAGTAGGAGACTTCAACACTCCACTCTCACCACTAGACATGACTGCCAGACAGAAACTCAAAAAAGAAGAAATAACAGAAGTTGTGACCCAATTGGTTTTAACAGACATCTACAGAACATTCCATCCAAACACGAACAATATACCTTCTTCGTAGCTCTACATAGAACCTTCTCTAAAATAAACCACACACTCGAAAACATAGCATACCTCCAGAGACACAAAAAAATGGAACAACCCCCTGTATTTTAACCACTGAGACATCTCTCCAGCCTACCCTCTGTATCTTATCAGACCACCATGCTTTAAAGTTAGAATTCAACAATAACACAAATCACAGAAACCCTACAAACTTGTGGAAATTGAACAATGTGCAATTGCACCATTCCTGGGTCAAGAAAGAAATTAAAGACTTCCTGGAATACAATGAGAATGAAGACACAACATACCCAAACTTATGGGATACTTTGAAAGCAGTGCTAAGAAGAAAGCTCATAGCACTAAGTTCCCACATGAAGAAACTGGAGAATAGTCACACAGAGAATTAACAGCACAACTGAAAACTCTAGAACAAAAAGAAGCAAACTCACCCAGGAGTAGTAGACACCAGGAATTAATCAAATTGAGGGCTGAAATCAATAAGGAAAACAAAGAATCAATAAAACAAAGAGTTGATTCTTTGAGAAAATCAACATGATAGACAAACCTTTATCCAAACTAACCAAAAGACAGAGAGAGAGCATGCTAATTAACAAAATCAGAAATGAAAAGGGGGACATGACTTCAAACACTGAGGAGATCCAGAGAATCATCAGGTCATACTTTGAAAACCTGTACTTCACAAAATTCGAAAATCTAAAGGAAATTAACAATTTTTGGATAGATAACAGTTACTAAAACTAAATCAAGAACAGATAAGCAATTTAAATAGACCTACAAACCCTAATAAAATAGAAGCAGTCATCAAAATCTCCCAAACAAAAACAGCCAAAGGACCAGATGGTTTCAGTCCAGACTTCTACCAGAAATTCAAAGAAGAGCTAATATCATTACTGCTCAAACTTTTCCACACAATAGAAGCAGAAGAGGCAAAAATTCTTTTTATGAGTGTACAATTACATTGGTACACAAGCCACAGAAAGACACAACTAAGAAAGAGAACTACAGACCAATATCCCTCATGAACATTGATGCAAAAATACTCAACAAAATACAGGCATCAAAAGTCTCCCAACCAAAAGAAGCCAGGCCCAGATGGCTTCAGTGCAGAATTCTAGCACAAATTTAAAGAAGAGATAATTCCAATACTCAATTCAAAGTGTTCCACACAATAGAAGTAGGAGGTTCATTGCCAAACTCTTTTTATGAGGCTACAATTACCTTAATCCCCAAGCCACATAAAGATTCATAACTAAGAGAACTACAGACCAATCTCCCTCATGAACACTGCTGCAAAAATACTCAATAAAATATTAGCAAATCAGATCAGACCCAAGAACACATCAGAAAAATCATCCACCACAATCAAGTAGGCTTCATCCCACGGAAGCAGGGATGGTTCAACATACAAAATTCTATTAATGTAATCCATCATATAAGCAAACTGAAAAGAAAAAACACATGACCATCTCACTTGATACTGAAAAAGCCTTTGACAAAACCCAATACCCCTTCATGATAAAGGTCCAGGAGACATCAGGGATAAAAGGAACATACCTGAACATAATAAAAGCAATATATACAATAAGCCAACATTCAACATCAAAGTAAATGGAGAGAAGCTCAAAGCAATTCCTCTAAAATCAGGAATAAGAGAAGGATGTCCACTCTATCTCTCTTAAATATTGTACTTGAAGTTCTAGCTAGAGCAATAAGACAACAAACAGAGATCAAGGGGATACAAATTGGAAAGGAAAAATTCAAACATTTACTATTTGCAGATGATATGGTAGTTTACATAAGCGACCTGAAAAACTTGATACAGGAACTCCTACAGTTGATAAACACCATCAACAATGTGGCAGTATACATGATTAACTCAATCAGTAACCCTATTACATATAGTTGATAAATGGGCTGAGAAAGAAATCAGAGAAACATCACTCTTTACAATAGCCACAAACAAGATAAAATATCTTGGGATAATGCTAACCAAACATGTGAAAGGCATGTATAGCAAGAACTTTGAGTCCTTAAAGAAAGAAATTAAAGAAGATACCATAAAATAGAAAGATCTCCCTTGCTCTTGGATAGGTAGGATCAACATAGTAAAAATGGCAACCTTGCCAAAAGCAATTTACAGATTCAATGCAATGCCCATCAAAGTACCAGCATAATTCTTCCCAGACCTTAAAAGAACAATGATCAACTTTATATGGAAAAACAAAAGACCCAAGATAGCCAAAACAACCCTGTACTATAAAGGAACTTCCAGAGGCATCACCATCCCTGACTTCAACCTCTATTATAGAGCTATAGTCTTGAAAACAGCTTGGTATTGGCACAAAAATGGACAAGTAGACCAATGGAATCAAATTGAAAACCCTGATATTAACCCACACACCTACAAACACTTGATTTTTGACAAAGAATCTAAAATTATACAATGGAGAAAAGAAAGCATCTTCAACAAATGGTGCTGGCATAACTGGATATTGGCATGCAGAAGACTGCAGATAGATTCATGTCTGTCAACATGCACAAAACTTAAGTATAAATGGATCAAAGAGAACGTGGGAGGTACCCTTCAATGAATTGTTACAAGAGAACACTTCCTAAACATAACATCCGTAGCACAGACACTGAGATCAACAATTAATAATTGGGACTTCCTGAAACTGAGAAGCTTCTTTAAGGCAAAGGACACATTAACAAGACATAAAGGCAGCCCACAGAACAAGAAAAGTTATTCACTAACCTCACATCCGACAGAGGGCTAATCTCCAGAATTTATAAAGAACACAAGAAGCAAGTCTCTAAAACACCAAAGGATCCTATTAAAAAGTGGGCTACAGAACTAAATAGAGAATTCTCAATAGAGGCATATAAAATGTCTGATAGACACTTAAGAAATTTCTCTACATCCTTAGCCACTAGGGAAATTCAACTCAAAACAACTCTGAGATACCATCTCCCTCCTGTCAGAATAGCCAAAATCAAAAACACCAATGACAGTTTATGTTGGAGAGCATATGGAGAATGGGAACACTTCTCCACTGCTGTTGGGAGTGCCAACTGGTACAGCCACTTTGGAAATTAGTGTGGAGATTTTTAGGAAAATGGGAATCAGTCTACCACAAGATCCAGTAATTCCACTCTTAGGCACATACCCAAAAGATGCATATTCATACAAGGACATCTGTTCAGCTATGTTTATAGGAGCATTATTTATAATAACTAGAACCTGGAAACAACCTGAATGCCCCTCAGCTGAAGAATGGATACAGAAAATGTGCTACATTTACACAATGGAGTAGTACTCGGCGGAAGAAAAACGAGTGGTATGTACTCACTCATATATGAATTTTAGGCATGAATCCAGGGAGTGTCAGCCTACAATCCCACCGTCAGAGAGTCTGGGAAACAGGGAAGAACCATAAGAGAGATATGCATGGTACTGCCAAAGAAGTGGAATGGGACAGCATCTTCTGGGTGAACTGGGATCATGGGATTGAGAAGAAGGAGTTGGGATGAAGCAAAGGGGAGCAGAGAAGGAGAGAGTAGGACATGGGGGCTCAGGAAGGTTGTGTCTGGGGAAGAGTAAAGGAGAGCAGGATAAGAGATACCATAAGAGAAGTGGTCATTATAGATTTGAGGAAAGATCTGGTACTAATGAGATTTCCAGAGATCTACAAAGATGACACCAATTGGCAATCTAAGAACCTCCCCCACTCTGGCATCTGTGCTAATTATGCTCTGTGGTTCAAGGTTCTGTGTCACCTAGGAGTCTGGGCAGCATCTTAGCATCTACCCACTAGGTCCAGCACAGTCTTCCCACCTGAAAACCCTGCATGTACTCCAAGTGACCAAATGTCTCATGGAAGATTGAACCCTTCTAGAGGACAAATTCTAACCTAAAACTGATGACTGAGAGCATTTTCAGTAAACATTGCCTATTTTATCACTTGCCCTCTCAGTAATTTCAATTTTTATGTCTATGAAAACCATTTTAAAAATAATTCTACAGCATCTAGTATTTCAAGGCTGTCTCCCATCCCAGTTCTAGAAGTGATATGCCTTTGCTTCTGTGAACAGACCAGATCATGTGCATTCAGAATGGTGTGGCTCTGGACTCTGAAGGGAAAACTGGCTCATAACTATTATTAGATGCATATCCATTGTATTCTGTATCTGTATTCTGGATATGTACCTAAATTAAATGACATGACATTCTAACCTCAGCCCACAGAGAAAAGATTCTCTAAACAAGGCTCTTAAACTTACCAAAATTTTCATAAATCAAGGAATAAATGACAGTCCTGAATTTATAATCCTAGTGTAAGTATCCTAAATGCCTGTAAAACTCTTCTTGAATCTGAGCATTGTAGTAGCTTCTCACAGTTTATTAACGATGTTTTTCTCCCTTGATGAAGACAGATATCACCCTCCAAGTCTACAAGGATGTGTGTCATCCAGACTTCAAATCATGAGAATTCCAGAAAATCTAGCAAACACAGGAAGTTAGGCATGAAAGAAAATTAAGAGTGGAGGTTGTGCAAACATGATAATGGTGTTTGCTTTCTGAAAGGCAGATTCGTGAAGGAGTAATAAGGACTGAGATTGCCTGCTTCTCACCACGTCTCATGGGACTATAACATGAACAGGAGAATTTCTTTTCTGCTCATGCCAGTGATCCCCAGGGAAATCAGTTAGTTGCTTAAGGCTTGGAATTGTGTAATGAGAATACAGGGAGCATAAGGCATCACCCCTTGTCCTCATAGGAGGCAATTCTCAGATGGACAGGTTAAACTATTTCCATTTACAGTTCATTTGTGGATTAGGGACCACTTCTTCCTTCATTCTCAAAGTCTTTTCTGGAGTCAAAGAAATCCATCCAGGGAAGAATCAAGACCTCTACAGAGGGAACTTCAAAGAGCACCAATCCAGCTGACTCTGAGTAGGTACATCTGTAAGTGTATGAAGACTGGAAGATAAAATGTACCTGATGCCCCCAAGAATCTAGCCACGCTAGTGTGGGGCTGAGGGGTGGGCAGTTTGTTTTTGTTTTGTTTTGTTCTTTGTTTTTCTTTCTCAGTGTTTGAGGAATCCTACCTAGTTTTTGTTTGCATCTATATGTATGTGTATAAGGCAGATATATGGAATGTCTAAATCTTGGGTAATATACTCTGTCAGCAATTCATTGCAACATTCGCCAGCCCAGTGCTTCTTTACCTGGGGATATCTGCTATGTTCTTAGTAATAACTGCTTTTTATGCTTTTTGTTTTTTCAAGTCTCTTTTTAAAACTAGTTTTGCATTATGTGGTTGATTCAATCTCTCTATAGCAATCATCTCTTGCCATTTTCTGCAGCATAGTCCTTTCTTTTGAGCAGACAAAACTTAGCTGTATCAAGGAAAAGTGAGAAAGAATTCCTGAGAGCAAGCAGGGCTCCCAAGAAGGCATTTTCACAACATATTCCTTTGCACTCAACTGAAGTTCATCTACATATGTTCATCAGGATGATTTTTTTAAATCATGGAACCACCATGTAGCCTAGACTGCTTTCAGACTCACTATATTCTTGCCTTAATTTCCTTAGCACAGGGATTACAGGCACGTGCAACCAATCTGGTTCCTGGGCCCATATTTTATAGCCCTACAAGTTTTCATGGTATTTATAGATGTTCCATTTTGTACAATTGGAATAAGTTATTTTAAGGGAAAGGTGAAATACTTTGCGTGATGCTGAAATGTTAAGATTTTCCAGGTGCAGAGGATTCTTCAAGTTTGTGCTCCCTCTTTTGCTTCTGCTGTAAGCCGCTCTATTGGAACATTAAAACCTGTCTCTGTGCAACGTATGAGATGGGGTAAGTTGAAGCATATTGCAGACCCTTGAGTCTCATCATTATGACCCATGCTACAGATACAGCTCAATTCCTAGTTCTCTGATATTACTTATTTACTTTTAAATGTCTTTCCTTTCTCATGCATGCATGCGAGTGTGTGTGTGTGTGTGTGTGTGTGTGTGTGTTTGACTGTATATGTATATGGGTGCACATGTCATGGTGCTTTTTTCTTCCACTATATTGATCTCAGGAGGGAACCCAGCTTGTCAGGCATGATGGCACGTTTATCTGCTGAGCCATTTTGGCTGATTCTCATTGTTACTTTGTATGGCAGAAATACTGGCCAAGGTCAGTCCACACATCATAATTTAAAGTGCACATTGACACATTTTGCACAGGTGCTGTTTGACTAGGTATCTGTAATTTATTCTGTTTATATAACTGAGAGATTACATCCATTCAGATAAGCCCCACATTTCCTCCTCACTACGTATGCCTCCTTCCTACTCATGACTTTCTGAGACTGACTGACACAACTATCTCATGTACATGGGGGGAACCATGCAGCATTTTGACTACACGGGCATCTGGGATCATAGTGGACCATGACTCCAGTCTTGTTTAACCCCCCAGGCAGCTGCATTAAAAGGGCTATGACTTGAGTATGCAAGGACGGAACAAGAAAGTGAAGCACAGGCCCATGTTCTTTTTCATGTTCAGGGTTATCTATGTGTGAGCATTTTACCTGCTTGCATGTATGTGTTCCACAGAGGTTAGAGGAGGGCTCGGATCTCTGGAACTGGTGTTATGCATGGTTGTGAACAACCATGTGGGTTATGGGAACCACACCTGGGCCACCAGCTAGAGCAAGTAATCTTAACTGCTGGGATATCTGGGCAGTCGCAGCCCAGTATTCTTAACAACTGTTTTGGAAAAGGAAGGTGACTAGTTGGGTGTGGGAAGGGAAACATAGGATAGTAACTTGAATATAATCAGAATAAATAAATACTTGAATTAAGAAACCCATCACACATATATGTATGTATTCTATACATGTACATACATATGCACACATATATGTACATACACACATATGTATGTCCTTATGAGCTACGCAAATAACCTATAGTCCTAACTACAGACAAATTAATCCAATAATACATTAGGAATATTACTTTGAATATATTAGCTCTGTGTATCTGGAAATGATGAGATCTCATTATGTAATAATCTCTGAATTCTCCAGCCATTGTGACTGTTTTCTTTCTTACGTTTTACCCTTGGGGGCTTTAATCTTTGCGTGTATTTATTCTGCTATAGTTTTTATATTTGTTATTATTGTGCATGCCCAAAGCTGTCATATTATCTCTGTCTTTCCCAGAAGTCACTCACAGCACATGAAACAACAAAATGATACTCAAGGCTCACAGTTTCTCCTTCTGGGACTTTCAGAAGACCCGGAGCTGCAGCCCCTTATATACAGGCTCTTCTTCTCCGTGTACCTTGTGACCATTTTGGGGAATCTTCTTATCATCCTGGCCACAATCTCAGATTTCCACCTGCACACAGCCATGTACTTCTTCCTCTCCAACCTGTCCTTTGTGGACATCTGCCTGTCTTCTACCACCATCCCAAAGATGCTGGTGAATGTTTATACACAACACAGGACCATAACTTATGAAGGCTGCATCTTGCAAATATATTTTTTCATATTATTTTTAGGGCTTGATAACTTCCTCCTGACTGTAATGGCTTATGACCGCTTTGTGGCCATCTGTCACCCCCTACACTATACAAGCATTATGACACACAAGCTCTGTGTGTCACTAGTTCTAGTGTCTTGGATCACAAGTTCCCTGAATTCTTCATTACAAGGCTTCATGGTCCTGCAGCTTTCCTTCTGTGCTAATGTGGAAATTCCACATTTTTTCTGTGAACTTAGCATGCTGGTTCACCTTGCCTGTTCTGACACCTTCCTAAATGATGTGGTAATGAATGTTTTAGCTACACTCTTGGGTGGTGGTTGTCTCACTGGCATCCTTTACTCTTATGCCAAGATAGTGTCCTCCATATGTGCGATCTCCTCAGCTCAGGGGAAGTACAAAGCATTCTCCACCTGTGCTTCTCACCTTTCAGTGGTCTCTTTATTTTACTGCACACTCCTGGGAGTGTACCTCAGTTCTTCTGTGACCCAGAACCCACACTCCACTGCAATAGCTTCACTGATGTATACAGTAGTCACGCCCATGCTGAACCCCTTCATCTACAGTCTGAGGAACAATGACATCAAGAGAGCACTGAAGAAGAACTTTGTGAGAGAGAAATTAGAAAAGTGAGTATCGTATTGGATCTTAAGTTTCAAAAAAAGCAATCCCAACTTAAGGGCTGAAAAGTTTGAAATGTCTTCTCTGAGTCTTGGGCTGGTACACCAATCCCACTGCCAAGACTGAGAGATCGTTTTTTTGGAAAATGGGAAGGCAGAGATTAAAAGCCTGAGGCAGTGGATGACTACAAGGGGACATTATCTTCTAGGCCCAGCAAGACATCCGTATATATGAACTCAAAGAAGTTGCAACGTCATGCACAAAATCTGTCCAAATCCAAGCCAGACCAAACCCAAGTGTAAAGGGGAAGCGACACACAATTCCAGCCCTCAGAGTGCAGTTGTTTTTAGCTGCTAGAAGGAGAGATGGTTTCCCCTGGTGATTTGATCACTCTCCAGTGGAAGGCCACACCTGTAAGAGTATTGAAGCAGCACAAATTAGTCCCAGAGCATTTAAAAATAAGGAACACAGATCTGAATGGATATGGAATGGGTAGGTGGATGTGAAGAGCTGAAGAAGGGGGCTCGTATGGCCAAAGCACATGTGAGACCCCCAAAGAATTAAATAGAAGAGAAATCCCATTTCTGGGTGCAATGACAGAAGCGGGGGTTGTTACTTTTATGTATTTTCTGCAGTTTCCATTTATTTGATTTCAAATTTTCTATGAAGTAGATAGTTCTCCTGTAAGCATGCTGCTTTTCCCAGTACCTAAGTTCCCCGTTTACAACTTCCAGACTTTCTCAACCTTGTTCCCAGTCGCAAATAACATGTATCTTAAAAGATCTCCATCTATTTCATACATGAATTCCTTTTTAAAACTTATTTTCTTTCTTTCTTTCTTTTTTTTTTTTTTTGGTTTTACGAGACAGGGTTTCTCTGTTTTGGAGGCTGTCAGTCCAGCCTGGCCTCGAACTCACAGAGATCCGCCTGCCTCTGCCTCCCGAGTGCTGAGATTAAAGGAGTGCACCACCAACTCCCGGCAAAACTTATTTTCATTTTTTAAATTAGCATAAAAGATACGTTACGGCATGCTCAAGCAAAGTGTGTTTTAATAGAACTTTCCTGTCCCATTTCTCCCACCCACTGTTATCTCTAACAGACCATGGAGCCTCCCTCAGTCTCTCCCTCTTTCATGTCACACACGCCCTTGAAAGATGTCCCCATCTTTCCTCAGAGAATGTTTTTACCATCTCCTGGTCTCCTTTCACTTCTGAGTAATTTATATCAATATCTTGGAAAATAAAGTCATTTTTCTCATGGTATTACTAAAACAAGGTCTTTTGCTGGGCTTCTCCTCTGTGCCCCTTCCCCTGCAGGATAACTCACATCTGACCCCGATGGCCATTTGCATAGTCGTAGATGGCAGCTGAGATTGTGAAGGCCCCTCCTGCCTTCCTGCATCTCTTCCTGACTCTGCATCTTCTAACAGGCTTCTGTGCTCTGTGTTTCAGCAAGGATTTTTTTCTTTGCATGGCAATTTGTTCTCTTCTTCAGTTCTGCATCCACAACCCTCACCACAGTTATTGGGACACAGTTATTATCAAACACACATAATGAGAAAAATAAATTTTTAGTAAATTGATTTCCTTGGCCTCTGAATGGTAGTGGACATTATACAAAGTGATATAAATAACATGCATCATACATTAAGTCTCCATGAAAACATTTCTTTGTTATACAATAAATATAGCCATTGAAATATAAGAGTTCTGCCATATTAAAATAACTACTCTGAATACTGATTGATATTTTGAAAGGTATTTGCCTGCATCTATGTGTGTCTGTGTATGAGGTTGTGTACATGACTGCATGGGCCAAAGCTAAGAGATGATTTCAGATCTGGAGCTAGGGTTATGGGAAGTTGTGAATCTCTTGAATTCAGTACTGGTCCTCTGGAAGAGTGACAAGTGACCTAAACAGGTGAGCCATCTCTCAGCCTCTGACTGACATGTTTATATTGTTATTAAAGTTAACATTTTGGTTTTTCTCTAGAACTTGTATTTTTCCAGAAACTTGAGTGCTCTCAAGTTATAAGTAAAATTTTCTCACAATTCTGAATTTTGAAGTTGTCAGTAGAGGGGTAATTTATTATGTGTCTTCTTTATGCTCACAGATCACTTTTGTCATCATGATAAAAACACAATCTGTAAGAGAGCTTAATTTCCCATCCAGACATGCAATTTTGGTTCACTAGCTTTCCTATACAAATATGAAAATTCTTTATTATGGGAAAAAATCTCCATGTAGCAATGTCTAAATATAGACTCTTGGTCATACTTGCAAAACGAATGCTGAATATTGTCTTCTGTTTTCACAGAAGAATCCTATGTAAAATGTCACACAGTTATCCTCATGTCCATTGGTTATGGTAAGGGTTTGCTTTTGCTGCAGAACAAGAATTGCTAATAACAAATATTTTGATGAAATGCCAATATTTTCAATAAAATAATATGATAGGAGATATTCTAGGCTATGCTGATCCTGATATTTTAGTCCGTAGTATTCAGCCTGTGAATTTCTTCACATCTTCCATGGGCTTCTAATTACTCGGGATTTATCTGAGCACTAGATGATTTAGGACAGTTTGGCTGTGGAAACTTTCCATCCATCACAAATTCTTTTTATTTATAATTGTAAAAGATGTTTTTCCAGGTAGTTGAGGCACAATTCAAACATAGCACAGTAGAAATACTGACTGACCCTGCTATCAGTATCACCATTTTCTATTATTAAAGGAATATTAAGAAGACATCAATGACTTTATCAAGCACTTGAATACCAACCTGCTAAACAAGATGTGTCTGATAGTACAATAAGGACAAGGATATTTATGGGGGCAATCAATTAACTACCTTGATTGAATTAAGAAGGTCTATAAGGATAGAACCTCTTTATCTTATTTTCCTTTTATTTTTTCCATTATTGAAAATAGATTTTTATTTCTTACTTATTACTTTAATTTTAAATAGCTTGCTTCACATGTCAATCCCAGTTCCCTCTCCTTTCCCTCCTCCCGCAACCCCCCTCACCATCCCCCCCCCCAGCCTTCCATCTTATCCCCACTTCCTTCCCATAGGGGTTATCCAGAGTCCGTCATTTCACTCAGGGCAGGGTCCAGGCACTCCCCTAAGAGTCCAGGCTGAGAGAGCATCCCTCTTTGTGTTATGGACACACGAATTCCATTTGTATGCCAGGGATAAACACTGATTTACTGCCCAGGGCCCCATAGGTTGCCCAGGCCTCCTCACTGACTCTCACACTCAGGGGGTCTGGATCAGTCCCATGCTGTCTGTCTGGGGTCCAAGAGCTTCCCCTTGTTCAGCTGTCTCCACTGGTTTTGCCAGCCCATTCTTTGCCAATTTGCTCATCGCTCCTCTCTCTCTGTCACTGGATTCCATGGGTTCAGTTCAGTGTATAACTGTGGGTGTTTGCCTCTGCTTCCATCAGGCACTGGATGAAGGTTCTAGGATGTCACATAGTGTAGATGTCAAGTTAATTACCAGGAATGGGCATTTAAGGTGGTCTCTCCACTATTGCTTAGCTTGCCAGTTGGTGTCATCCCTTTAGATCACTAGAGGTCTCACTGGTGCAAGATCTGTCTTCTAACCTATGACTCCCTCTTTTATGGTATTTCTCATCCTGTTCTACCCTAGAGAGAGTAGGTCATGGGGAAACAGGAAGGTTGAGTGGGGGGTAGAAAATAGATTTTTGTCTCATATAATGTATCCTGATTATGATTCCCCTCCCTATACTCCTCCTAGTTCTTCACTGCATTTCTGCCCTATTAGAAAACATATAGATTTCTAAGGGATAGTAATAATAAAATATACGATAAAGACTTGACACCATTGGGTAAAAGCTCACCCCAAACACAGGCCATACTTGCCAGAAGGCCATAAAGGCCAGCCACCCATGAACTCTCTCCATTAGTGGTTCACATAGGCAGACTCCTTCATCCCAACCATAGGCCATGTCTACTAGAAAACCAGTTGGAAGCCCACCCCCAGACCTTCCTCACTTTTTAGGATCCAACAGACCTGATTTTCAGTTGTCCCTGCCCCATTTGTCACTGTGTTCCAGTCCCCAACTCCAGCAGACACCCCCTACCAAAATACAGACCACAGCTGCCAGAAGAGCAGGTAGGTTGCCTGCCTGAAAACCTCCTCCACTCTCTTGGGGGCACACCTTCCAACACTATGCCCAGTCACCCTCTCCTACTCAATGCTATATCCCAGCCCATAGCTCAGATGGAGAGTACCTGCTGGACCAGAGGCAACACTGATCACCACAACTCCAGGTAGTCCACCTACCTACAGACCTCCACCACTCTGTGCCCCCCACACTATCCTCAATCCCCTTCTCCTCCCCTTTACCATGTGCCAGCCACCAATTAAGGCAGAGACTCGTTGCTGGATCAGAGGCCACACAGGCCACCAGAACTCCTGCCCCCAACTCAGGTAGAGAACCCTTGTTCAACAAGAGACCATGCCAACTACCAGAAGTCCAGCTCCCAAATCCGGTGAAGATTCCTTGCTCAACTACAGACCACACAGGCCAGAAGACCAGAGAGGTAACAGAAACTAAGGAACAACTCACCCATCCAACAAAGAAACTCAGAAATCATCACTTAGAACTATAATCATTTTAATCCCAGTGTAAGAACAAAATCAACAACAACCAGGGCAATCTGTCACCATTAGAACCAACATATTCTACTATAGCAAACCATGGATATTCCAACATAGCTCAAGCACAAGTAACAGACCCTAAGACCAATTTATTAAGACAATAGAGGCCCTTAAAGAAGTGAATAAATCCCCCTAAAGAAATCAAGGAAAGGACAAACAAAAATTGGAGGTAATAAGTAAGCCCCTTAAGGAAAGCAAGAAAAAAAGAAAACTAATACAAGTGTTCAAGACCTCAAAATGGAACTAGAAGCAATAAAGAAAACACAAACTAAAGGAATTCTGGAAATGGGAAAATCTAGGTAAGTGAGCAGGAAATACAGACACAAGCATCTCCCACAGAATGCAAGACGTGGAAAACAGAATATCAAGCACTGAAGATATGATAGAATAAATATATGCATTGGTTAAAAAACTGTCAATTACACAAAATTCTTGACACAAAACATCCTGGAAATCTGAGGAACCATGAAAACCTAAGAATAATAGGAATGGAAGGTAATAATTCTGGCTTAAAGCCACAGAAGGTATTTTTAACAAAATCACAGAAGAAAATTTTCCCAACCTGAAAATAAGAAGATGCTTGTAAAGATACAAGAAGCATACACAACATCAAATAGATTGAACCACTAAAGAAAATCTGGTTGCCACATAGAAATCAAGACACTAAACATACAGAACAAAGAAAGATTAAAAGCTGCAAGGGAAAAGGAGAAAGTAACAAAGGTAGACTTATTATAATCATACCCAAGTTCTCAGTAATGACTCTAAAAGGGTCTTGACAGATGTCCCGCAGACTCTTAGAAACCACAGATGCCGTCTGAGACTATTGCACTTATATACAGCAAAATTTTCAATAACCATAGATGAAGAAAACAAGATATTTCATGATAAAGTCAATTTTAAGCAATATCTGTCTACAAACTCAGTCCTACAGAAGATACTAGAAAGAAAACTTCTAACACAAAAAAGTTATACATACTAAGAAAAATAATCTCGCACCAGTAAAACCAACAGAAGGGAAATACACTCACATTTGCATGCACAAACACATACATGAACACAAACACATACAAACACTCACCATCACCACTAACAATGACTAAGTAACAGGCATTAACAATTATTGATCATTGAGTTCTCACTATATCAAGGGACTCAAATCCTTAGTAAAAACACACAGACTAACAGAATGGATTTGAAAACAGAATTCATCCTTCTGATGAATGTAAGAAACAAACATCAACATCAAAGATATATGTTATGTCAGAGTAAAGGGTTGGAAAAAGATTTTTCCAAGCAAATGAACCTAAAAAGCAAGCTGGTGTAGGCATTCTAATATCTAACAAAATAAATTAATCAAAATAGAAGGGGAAGGGCACTTCATAGTCATCAAAGGAAAAATCTACTGAGATGTTTTGGTTCTTAACATCTATGCCCTTAAAACAAAGGAACCCACATTTGTAAAAAACAAACAAAAAACAAAACAAAAAAAAACACTACTAAAGTTGAAGTCATGTGTTGATCCTCACATTTATAGTGGGAGACATCTGTACTGCACTCCTACCAAAAGACAACTCATCCAACAAAAACTAAATGGAGAAATACTATATCATCTGTAAATAAAGACATTTTGACTTTTTTCTTTTCTAAATTGTGTCTTTGATCTACTTTAGTTGACTTATTGCTCTAGCTGATACTTCAAGTACCATATTGAATAGATATTGGGAGAATGGAAACCTTGCCTTACTCCTGATTTTAGAAGAATTGCTTTAAGTTTCTTTCCATTTAAGTTTATTTGCTATAAATTGCCTTTATCATATTTATGCATGTCCCTTCTTTACATAACGTCTCCAGTATTTTAATAATGAAAGGGTTTTGGATGTCGTCAAAGGCTTTTTCAGCATCTAGTGAGGAAGGTGAAAGAAAAGAAGAAAAGAGAGAAACAAATGAAGGGAGAGAGTCTAGGAAGAAAGGCGAAGACAAATTTTAGAACTCAGAAAGTAGACAAAGGAGGTTCACAAGGTCAGCATGGGTCACTCAGTAGTCTATATTTCAAAAAGAAAGAAAAATGAAAGAATGATAAAAAAGCACAAAAAACTGCTGCTGTAATTTTAAAGGTATTTATTCTTTGAGATTTTTGCATATGTATATATTTTATTACATCCATGTCCTACTCTCCAACTCCTCCTGTTTCCCCTTACTATGTCCCCTCCCAAATAAATGTCTCCTATAATTTCTTTTAATAACTGACTGAGTCTAATTATTGTTGGCCATATGCACATATATGAGGGACCATGCACAGGACCAGGGATAAAGCCTGCAAACAGGAGTAACCCTCTCTCCACTTGGAGCCATTAACTGCTGATAGCTCCTCAACTAGGAATGGGAACCAACAAGCCTTTTCAACAACACGCTGGACTCTTGACTGGTTTAATCTTACTGAGGTCTTGTATAGACATCTATAGTCACTGTGGGTTCTTGATTGTTAACAGTCATATTACATCCAGAAGACAAAGTTTCTCAGTAGTCCCTGAAACCTCTGTTTTTTATGACTTTCTGTCCCCTCTTCAATTATGTTTGATAGGCTGTGGAGGGTGTTTCACATTTTCTGATGCTATAAAATTAATTTCCAAATGGCATTATTTTCATGGGAGGACCAAGCTTAAGAATACTCCTCAATATATATTTTCCAAAATAAACCGTTCATCAGAATTACCAGTCTTTCTCTAAATGAAGCAGCCATTAACATAGGATTCTGACCCAAGGATGGGAA